CCGCTCTTCAGGAAGGTCAGCTGTGACTGTCTCATCAGGTGAGAAAGAAGAACGCAGCCCTGACAACTGACAGCTGGCACTGGATCTGGCACCGCAAGCCATGTTGTTCCCCAACTGGACAATTTCTCAAACACCACGATCGGGTGAGTGCGCTCAGTGACTGCAGATGACTATGGCAGACATGAGACTCTGCTGTCACAGCTGAGCACAGACAAGAAGAACACTGTGCAAATCACAAAAGTGACCAAGTTACCCCCTTTCCTAGCTACAGGGGTGTTGCTTTCCCAGCTACAGGGGTGTTGGCTGCTTCTTCATCAATGGAGATTCAGCCCTGCTCCATTCTTCCTGCCTCCTAGATAAAAATGATCAAAATACCCAATGATAGCATTTCCCACACTTCCTGACAGGACCCAGTGCAGAGCAAACTCCTGCTTTTATAAGCCCTAAAGAGACCTAACACAAACCTGAATTTCTAAAGCTGCCCTCCCCCCCAGTTCCCCATGGTGTCATTATATAAACCCAATTGTGCTGCACGTGTATTCCTGGTGGCCTGTGGTTGGTGAGTTTGACAGACTTTTCCAGCTCTCTTACCAGCTTCACTTTGGTCTTTGAGTACAGTGCCACGAGCTCCTTTCTGTGGAATCACACTTCCAGAATGCTGGCGGAGATGTTTGGCCAGATCCATTGTCTTTTCCTTGACTCGTGAACTACAGAATGACCAGTCACTTTGTCACCATGCCTTCTAATCCATCCACAGAATTAACTGACTTTTCCTTCTGAAGCAGAATCAGTCAAAAGGAGCAGTTTCTCTCCTTAATTTTGCTATCTGCCAACTCTACCTTCAAAATAGGAGCATCTGGGTTGTTTTCATAAACATCAGGCCTCTCAGAATTTCGGAGGTAAGTGGCTTTGGTGGGGTCTCACCAATGCCTTTTCTTTTCTTTTTTTTTTTTTTTAAAGCTTGCCAAGTGACTCTAACATGTAGCCACTGTTGCAGATCATTGTTCTAAGAAATGAAATTGTCAGCAGCTCAGATTTGTTTTAAGTTAATGATGTCAAGTGCTGCCTTGCATCTCCCTTGCCTCTCATCCCTGTGCCAAGATCCTGTCTGTCCGGTCTCTGCCTCCCCACTGGCTTCTTTGGTGTTCTGAATTATGCGTATTTCTCCCTCACATGGCAGTTTGCATGCCTGGTTCGGGGCTTTGACTCCCACTCAAGGTTTCTCTTTCAACAGTGCTCACACGCACACAGACATGTGTACATACATACCCAACCCCTCCGAGGGGCCTGGAGAGCCCTGCCTTTTTTTGATCTTCAAACTTCTTGAATTTTAGGCCATGGCCAACATCCCTGCTCTCAAGGATAATCTCACTACTCTAATGCTAACAATTTCTTCCTCCTTTGCACCTGTTAAATTCACGATTGTTTGGATCCCTGCACCAAAGGTTTGTCTGGGCTGTAACTTGAGGTTGCTGAAGTGCTTGAAGCCCACAGTGGCATGGAATCAACACAATAGGAAACAGATGCTTTGTGGGAGCTCCTACTTTGTGCTCTGTTTTCACATTCATTATTCTCATTTAAACTTTACAACAACCCAGACTAAAGGATCATTTTACAAATGAGGACACAGAGACTCAGACCTTAAATAACTTGTTCAAGGTCACATACATAGTAAAAATTGTATTGGGGATTTGAAGCCAAGTCTACCCAGCTCCAGAACAGATAGGGTAAAATTAGGGGAGCCATCCCTTTTATCTGTGTCCATTGAGAAATACTTGTTCCAGATGAGGGATTCCTGCAGTTGCTAGGTGAGGAGGGGGCCAGCCTAGGGTGGAAAAAGGTAGGAGGGGGCTGGGCAGTTAGAGTACTGTGAGCTGGTGTGTCTGACTGGGTGGTGGGCAGGATTCAGCAGCACACCAAGCATCCCCTGATTCACCTCTTTACTGCCCATACTGATGTACTTCCCAAGCCCAAAGGCATCTGAAGAGTGATGGGGATGGGACCTTAGAGTGGGTGCTTCACAAGCACACCCCCTTCTTGCCCTGTCCCTGTAGAACCAGCTGGATGAGAGCCAGCAGGAACGGAATGATCTGATGCAGCTGAAGCTGCAGCTGGAGGGGCAGGTAACAGAGCTGAGGAGCCGAGTGCAGGAGCTCGAGACAGCTCTGGCAACCGCCAGGCAGGAGCACGCGGAGCTGACAGAGCAGTTCAAGGTGGGAGTTGGGCCAGGTAGGGGATGTGGTCTGGCTGCTCACCCAGTGTCCAAAATCTGAACCTAGTGAAGAGAGTAAAGGAGAGATGTTAGTGGCCTTCTAAGATGGTTTCTGGTACCAGGGAAATAGGTTTAAGGGGTAGCAGGTGGGATTGAATTGATATGACAAGAGACATGTCCCAAATTGGTAATGAGACTCAATTCTTTGAACATAGGAATGCTAGGGTAAGGTGCAGGTGACTATGTTCACAAGTAAGGGAATGTTTCCTTACCATTCCTTTTTCAAGGAAGGCGATGGGATGGGAGGGTGGGAGCTGCCAAACTCTGTGCTCTTAAGCCTTTGTTCTACCATTTGAGAGATGAGTCTCAACTTCCCTCTTCTTCTGGGGAAACCTTAACTCTAGGGGATTTCCCGGTCCCATGGGGAGCTCACAGAAGAGAGGGACATCCTGAGCCGGCAACAGGGAGACCATGTGGCACGCATCCTGGAGCTGGAGGATGACATCCAGATCATCAGTGAGAAAGTGCTGACAAAGGAGGTGGAGCTGGACAGGTGAGGGGACCTCCTCTAGCCCCATTACTTCCCTTGATTCCCCGTGACCCCCGCACTCCAGCCTCCTGTTTCAGGCTCAAACCTGCTCTCTGTCTCACATGGTTTCTCACTCAGAGTATTTCAATTACTGGGGATAGCTTTTTCTGTCTAGCTCTCTTACATCTTTTCTAACACTATCCTGTATTCCTCACCTTCAGAAATAATCATAGTTACCATTTATTGTGCATCAAAAGCTAAGCAAGAGGTAAGAGTGGAGGATTTCGGGCCGGCCCGGTGGCGCACTGGATAGTGCGCCGCTTGGGAAGTGCGGCGGCGCTCCCGCCCGAGGGTTCGGATCCCACATACAGACCGGTTCCCACTCACTGGCTGAGCGAGGCGCGGGAGCAACACCGAGGGTTGCGGTCCCGTTGCCGGTCCCCGGTCTGGTACGGGGGCAACACTGAGGGTTGCGATCCGTTGCCGGACACGGAAAAAGACAAAAGACAAAAGACAAAAAAAAAAAAAAAGAGTGGAGGATTTGGAAGAAGAGAATGGATAGAACAGTCAGCACAGGATAAGAGAGAATGGACTTCAAATTTTACCACAAGAAAAGATAAGACTCTATTCTCACCATTAAGAAGGGTTAAAACTGGTGTTTCAGAAACATTATAGAATTTCTCCCTCAAAAGAATGTATAAATCATAGAATCTTGGCAAAAGAAGAATAGTATTTTGTGTCTTGAAAATTATATGAAATTGGGCTGGCCCGGTGGCGCACTCGGTAGAGTGCGGCACTTGGGAGCGCGGCGGCGCTCCTGCTGAGGGGTCAGATCCCATATAGAGACCGGTCTGCTCACTGGTTGAGCGCGGTGCGGGTGTGACACCGAGGGTTGCAATCCCGTTACCGGTCACGAAAAAAAGACAAAAAGGAAAAAAAAAAAAGAAAATTATACGAAATTCAAATCTCAGTGTTCATAAACAAAGTTTTATTGGAACACCCCTCATTCATTTACACATTGTCTACAGCTGCTTCTGCATTGAAGTGGCAGAGTTGAGTAGTTGCCACAGAGACCACAGAGACCACATGGCCTGTAAAGCCTAAAATATTTACTGTCAGGCCCTTTACAGAAAAAGTCTGCCAACTTCTGCACTGTTTATTTCTAGATTGTGCTCTAGAACCAGAGATCTTGGGTTCTTGGGGCTTAGAACTAGATCATCTGGTTTGGGGACTTAAGCATCCCAGAGTAAAGTGAAGGTCTGGGCCTAGAAGAGCACATGACAAGAGGTCCAAGTGCTTCATTTCTTCTCTGCGTGACCAGATTATCTGACATGTCACCCCCCAACTCAAAGGGTCAGAGACGCAGTGAAGGCCCTGACTCGAGAACAGGAGAAGCTCCTTGGGCAACTGAAGGAAGTACAAGCAGACAAGGAACAAAGTGAGGTAAGAGGCTCAGAGTTGGTTTGCTTTCTCAGTTGTTCAGCCAGTGTTTATTAGTCCCCTCTGAATGCTGGACACCAAAGGGGATAAAAATGTAAAGAAGACATTGTGGGCACTCTACTAGGGAACATAAGACATGTACCCAAATCAGTATTAGTCAAAGTAGGATATAATAACTGACAAATCCAATAAAGTATTATGGGGTTCCAGAGAGGTCCATGAGAGCACATCTTGTTAAAGACATTAGAAAGGCTTTTTAAAAGGGGGCATGAACTAGCCTAGTACTTTCAAACATTTTTAGCAGGAGAACTCTTTCCTCCCACACACCAGTGAAGTTTTACATCTTATGTGGAACCTCACTGAATAAATAAAATGTGCGTGTGTGTGTGTGTGTGTGTGTGTGTGTGTGTGTGTGGCTGGCAGGCAAAAAAGCAATTATTTTACAACTATAAATTAATTTTTGTAAATTCAAATGTATGACATTTATTTATAAGGTAATTTTGATGGATACCAAACTTTGAAATTACAGGGTATGGATGACTATTCTGCCAGCCCCAGTGGCTAATGTATTTCTGTATTTTGCTTTGGTTGTACAATATTGAGAACACTTTTGGTCACACACAAGTAGGTGCAAATGATAGCAGTTTTTAAACTGTCCATCTTGCAATCTCAGTTTACTCTTCAATAGAAAATACAATAGAAACCTTATTGTGAAGTTTGCACAAAAATGAATTTACCTGGAAACACATGTCGATGGATTGGTGATCTCTAATGTGTTAACTTGTGAGTTTGTGTGTTGTCTTTCAATATAATTTTTAATAATTTAGAAGAAGTTCAAATATTTGCAGAACCCCTAAATCTCTTCCTCAGAACCTGGGCTTCTGTGGAAGATGTTTTTAAAACTCTTTGCTTGGCAATCAGAATGGGTAGAATTTGAGTAGATACAGTTGAGAGGGAGGTCATTGTAGGAATAGAGAAAGACATAAGCAAAGGCTTAGAGGCCAGAAGAGAGTCAGGGAAGCTGAATGTGTGGGTGAAGAGCTTGAGATGAGGCCCAGGTCAAATTGCGGAGGATCTTGACTTTAGTGTTTATTCTGTAAGCAGTGAGAGGCATGGATGATTTTAAAGTAGGGATGACATGTACTTAAAGAACTGTCCTTAAGGGCCAGCCCTTGGCTCACTTGGGAGAGTGTGGTGCCGATAACATCAAGGCCACGGGTTCGGATCCCTATATAGGGATGGCCAGTTGGCTCACTTGGGAGAGCGTGGTGCTGACAACACCAAGTCAAGTGTTAAGATCCCCTTACCAGTCATCTTTAAAAAAAAAAAAGAACTGTCCTTAAGGAATCAGAACCATCCTTAAAAATTAATCTGATTGCCTTGTGGAAAGTGAACTAGTCATGAAGTTATTCAGTAGTCCGAGAAAGAAATGACCAGAGCCTGAGTTAACGTTGTGGCTATAACAGAACAGAGGAAATGGCTGTGGCCAACATGGAGGATTAAGAAGCAATAGGATTTTCTGCGGGCCACTCAGGAGAGAACAGAGCCAGACATGGCACCAAAGTATCCAGTCTGAAGTGACCTGGGAAGTGGTTAGTACTATGGACAGAAATGAGAGTGGAAAAGACTGGGTGGGGTGGAAGGTAGAATATCCTGAGTTTGAGGGGCCTATGGGACATCCAGATTGCATTTTGGTAAAAGAGGAAGAGTGGAGAAACAAAAATGGGAAATGGGATACCTACATGTAAGACCCCAGGCTGTGATGCTGGAGACTGGATGTTCAGGATGAGTCCCTTTGAGCTGAGAACCCAGGAAAGGCTAGCAAGAGCTGAATACTTCAGTTTGTGTTAATCTGAAGAGTGGTACCTTGACCTGTCTCATCACAATGGTTCATTTCCCTGGCCACCCCAATACACACACCCTTTTCCTTACCTACTTTCCACTTCCATCAGGCTGAGCTCCAAATGGCACAACAGGAGAACTATCGTTTAAATTTAGAGCTGCAGGAGGCCAAGGGCCGGCAAGAAGAGCAGTGTGCTCAGGCCCAGCGACTGAAGGACAAGGTGGCCCAGATGAAGGACACCCTAGGTCAGGCGCAGCAGCGGGTGGTGAGTGAAGGCCCCCAGGCAACAGGAAGCAGTGAAAGCTCCAAGGGCTGGTTGTTGAAGTCTGGGTGGCCAGAGAAAAGGGGGAAAGACATGCCTAAAGACTAACAACACAATCCTGAGTCTTAATGCAGTGTGGGTGTGGGGAGCCTAGTTACCTCCCTGGTTCACAGTTTATTCTCTGGGAACCCTGATCTCCATCTCCTTTCTTCTGAGGCTGAGCTGGAGCCCCTGAAGGAGCAGCTTCGAGGAACCCAGGAGCTTGCGGCCTCAAGCCAACAGAAAGCCGCCCTCCTTGGGGAGGAGTTGGCCAGCACAGCAGGAGCCAGGGACCGTACCATAGCTGAGCTACATCGCAGCCGCTTGGAAGTGGCTGAAGTCAATGGCAGGCTGGCTGAGCTCAGTCTGCACTTGAAGGAGGAAAAATGCCAGTGGAGCAAAGAGCGGGCAGGGCTGCTGCAGAGTGTGGAGGTAGAGGGATAGGGGGACCTGGCAGTCTCAAGGCCACTGCCCCCACCTCCATGGGGACTCCTACATGTGGTCAGACCCTCTGGGAAGAGAAGAGGGGTTGAGAACCTTAGAGGATTTAGGAGTGGGAATGGGCTTTGAGGGAGGTATACTTTACTTTCCAGGCATGACCCATACCTAACCAGGGTATCCTAATCCTGATTGCCACATTACCTTCTTTAATTACCATCCTTGGTACAGAAACATTTACCACCCTAGGCACCAGGCCCTACCATAATGCCCATTCCTGATCAGTGCAGTACCTTGCTGTCATGTGCAATCCTTCATTCAGAGGGGTATAGAAAATGAGGAAGGCAAGAAGGGGAAATTGCTCCAAAAACAATTCAGTTAAATAATGGAAGGGACACGGTAAGAGATTGCACTGTTGCCAGTGGCATTCCTTTTCTTTCACCGTCATTCTCCCATTTTTCTTTTTTGACCATCTCCCAGGCTGAAAAAGATAAGATCCTGAAGCTGAGTGCGGAGATACTTAGACTGGAGAAGGCAGTTCAGGAGGAGGCACTGTTGCCAGTGGCATTCCTTTTCTTTCACCGTCATTCTCCCATTTTTCTTTTTTGGCCATCTCCCAGGCTGAGAAAGATAAGATCCTGAAGCTGAGTGCGGAGATACTTAGACTGGAGAAGGCAGTTCAGGAGGAGAGGACCCAGAACCAAGTGTTCAAGACTGAACTGGCCCGGGAAAAGGATTCTAGCCTGGTGAGGCACCCGGCCACCACAGGTCCTGTTCTATGGCCTCCTGAAGCATCAGTGCCCCTTCTCTCTCTGTGCTGGATGTGGGCTGAGAAGTTCTAGGTGCCCACATCTGTGTTGGGTAGTATCTCACTTGCACTCCTCCTAGCCCTCATTGGTTTGAAATGTGCAATGTCCCTTTCTGCTCTCAGGGCACACATCTGGGCCTAGTAGGAGTGACTTAGGAGAACTACAGAGTGCCACCTTGGTATGATGAAGGCCTCTGCACCCCAGCCTAAAGGGTATCATCCAGGTTCACACTCTAGAGGCAGAAAGTAGGACTCAGATGACTGAGTCTCCGTGGCCACAATAAGGGACTGATGGAGGAAGAGTGTTGGGGGTTCTCCTGTGTGTGTCAGGGCAGGAGAGGAGCAAAGGCCTAAGAAGACCTGGTTCTAGATTGTTGGTCCAAGTCCCAGAGCCCAGGTTCTTAGAGGTACATTCCAGGCTCCAGATTCCATCTGACCCTTTCCCTAAGGTGCAGTTGTCAGAGAGTAAGCGAGAGCTGACAGAGCTGCGGTCAGCCCTGCGTGTGCTGCAGAAGGAAAAGGAGCAGTTGCAGCAGGAGAAGCAGGTGAGAACCCATAACTCAGGCCCCTGGATGTCAGAGTTGAGGACTTGAGGGCTAGAAACTTTGTATCTTCTTTTTGTCTCTTAGTTTAGAAATTGGTATCTCTAAGAGAACCCAGAAGCTAAAAATGGGACCATGGCTACTCTTATTAGCTGACAGGAGGAGACTGCTAGGGGAAGAGAGGGATGGGATGTAAGGGGTAATGGAGGGCTCCTGGGGGAAGGGGTCTACTTTAAGTTGTCCCACCCTTTGGTGAAGGCATCTGATCCTGAGAAGCCAAGAGTTCATCCTGAATGCAAGGAAAGACTCTGTAGGCCAGCAGTGTTGGCATCTCCCCACCTCTAGCACCTGCCTCTTTCCTCCCCACTTCCAGGAACTACTAGAGTACATGAGAAAACTGGAGGCCCGCCTGGAGAAGGTGGCAGATGAGAAGTGGAATGAGGACGCTGCCACAGAGGATGAGGATACTGCTGCAGGGCTGAGTCTGTACACCCCCAATCTTGTGATGCCTCTTTCCCACTCGCCCCTGTTGAGGAAAGCTCCATGTGACCCCTCTAAGAGCTGCCTCTTCCTTCTCTGTGTCCTGCCTTTTTCCTTCCCAGACCGTGGCCCCTGTTTATTTTAACTGTATTCCTCATCCAGAGGAGACAGAGCTGACCCAACCCTCTAACAACACATCTTAACCTACAGGCTGCCCAGCGGCACTGACAGACTCAGAGGATGAGTCCCCAGAAGACATGAGACTCCCACCCTATGGCCTGTGTGAGCGTGGAGATCCAGGTTCCTCTCCTTCTGGGCCCCGAGAGGCTTCTCCCCTCGTCGTCATCAGCCAGCCAGCTCCCATTGCTCCCCACATGTCAGGGACAGCTGAGGACAGTAGCTCTGACTCGGTGAGCAATGAGAGGAGCCGGAGCAGAAGCAGTAAGGAGGGGGTAGAGCCAAACCCAAGTGTCCCAGCCTCCAGAGCAGGAACTCTTAGCCATGCAGGGCTCTCTTCTTTTCCTGGGGGAGGGAGGTAGGCCCAGCCTTTCTTCAAGGCCACCAACAGATACAACTCCAAAACCCAATCCAACCCAGTAGCCTCATTGCTTCCAGCACCTGATCCCCTACATTCCTTCTCTTTTTATCCACCAGCCCCCATCAAACACCTCTCCTGCCTCACTCTTCCTGCAGCCCCTCTGTTCACTGTCCCAGCCTTGGCTGCTCTTCCTTTACCTGTCCCAGTGTGCTGCTCCCTTGTCTTGGGACACCACCCCAAAACCCATCCCTGTCTCTTTGGTGCCCAGGAAGCTGAAGATGAGAAGTCAGTCCTGATGGCAGCTGTGCAGAGTGGGGGTGAGGAGGCCAACCTGTTGCTTCCTGAACTGGGCAATGCCTTCTATGACATGGCCAGGTGAGTGCAATTGGGGAGGAGAGGAGGGAGGTGGGAAGAAGTCAGTGGAAAAGGGCATCCAGGTGGAACAGTCACCATGCCCTGCCCCCAACCTCTCCCTTCTTGGTCTCAGCCAAGAAAGGGAGATACAGTGTGGTTGACACAGAAAATTACCCACGACTCCAAATCCCAGGTGCCTTCAGGTAGTCCCTCCCCCATCTTATCAGTGCACTCAGAGGCCCTGCCTTTAACTGGCTTTTGTGTTGTTCTAGCACCATCTTCCATGGAGCCCAAATTGCTCTGCATTCCCTCTCTCCTGCCCCTACCCCTTCCCTAACTACCAGGTAGGTACCTAGGCTCCTCAGGGGAGGAAGGGAGGTAGCCAAGCCCCCAGGAATAGGAGCAGAGAGAAGACTGGGATCCAGCATCCATCTAGCTATGCCTGAGATGCTGTCTCTCTTCCCTGACTTTCCAGGGAACCCTTTGGGACGGGAACCTACAGGGTGAGGGATTCGGGTATCAGATTGCCCTTCTGCCTTCTCTTTTCTTCCTTGGGGCGAGAAGTCAGGGCACAGGGAAGAGAGATTTTATCATCAAGCCCCCAGCTTTGCCTGGATGTGAGATGGGCTCAGGATGGGGAGGGGGTGATGCTGTCATCCTTCTCAGCTGGAGCAGGAAGATGAAGGACGATGTCAGACTCATTTTTAGCCTCATTAGGCAGCAAACGGAGATGGAGTCAGGAGAGCAGGAGGTTGGGGGCTGGGCTCTGCACTACAGAGACCAGCAGGGACTAAAGAAGAGAGGACAGGGGGAACTGGAAAACTAAGGTTTCCAGTATTGTGGGGAGAAAGGTGCCATAGGAGAGATTGGGAGAGGGAATTACCACAAAGCTGCATTTGGAACAGGATAATCTGGGAACTCAGGTACGTGGGTCCCGCTCCCTGAGGCCCACAAGTCAAGAAGGCAATGGAACACATTGACCGTCTCCTTTTCCCCTCTGTCTCTCTTTAGTGGCTTTGCAGTGGGCCCCCTGTCAGAGGCCAACACTGGGGGTCCTGCAACCCCCCCATGGAAGGAGTGTCCTATCTGTAAGGAACGCTTCCCTGTTGAGAGTGACAAGGATGCCCTGGAGGATCATATGGATGGACACTTCTTTTTCAGCACCCAGGACCCCTTCACCTTTGAGTGATCTCACCCCTCCCTAGTACATGCACAAATACACACACACACACACACACACACTCATGCACAGACGCACACTTAGATCTCATACCTGTTTTCTACCACACTGGGTTCCATGATATTCTGTTCCCTAAGAACCGCTCCTACACACACACACACTCATGCACAGACGCACACTTAGGTCTCATACCTGTTTTCTACCACACTGGGTTCCATGATATTCTGTTCCCTAAGAACCGCTCCTGTGTGCCCCATTTTCATCCCAAGCTTTCTGACTTCATCCTCTCCTACCTGGCTGTTTTGTCCCAGGCAGGGTTCCTTCTTGGAAGCAGTGGCTGAATTTACTCCCTAAAAGCAGTTTTGGAGGAACAGAGATAGAGGCAGCCTTCCCCTGTAAGAATAGAATCATCCACTCCCAGCCCTCATTGCTTCTGATACTCACACAGTCTCACACACTCACACCCACACTCCCCTCTCTGATGCCCCAAAGCCAATTCCTGGGGCACCCCCCTCTCCCGTTTGAAGTTTATGTTTGCTTACCTTAGTTTTCTCTGGGGCCTGCATGGAGGCAGCAGCATGGACATCAGGACCTCTTCAGATCTTGTTCAGTTCTCAGCTTCAATGCTTCCCCTTTCTGTTCCCCCATTGCCTTCTGCACGCCACTCCAGCCTTGTCCATAGCCTTAGATAAGTTTGGAGGTATTTGTATTTTTGAGGATTCCTGTACTCTGTCTCCTGCCCCTCCCTGTAAACACATGCATGCATGCGCAGACGCACGCACGCGCACACACACACACACACACACACACCCCGTATCCTCACATGGAAAGAAATAATGTATTTGTGCCTTCTGTGAGGGATGGGGGGACAAGTAGTCCCAGGTATCTCCATTTCCCAGCCCCCCCTTCCTCTCCAGTTTCCTCCCACAGCAATAAGAGCTTCCCCCCTCCATGTCCTCCTATCTGTAGTTTGGACAAATATATTTATATGATATGTATAACTGCTGTCATAAAATGTGTTCTTATGAGGTTGACTGGGGCAAAGAGGGTCCAGACCCTTTTCAACCTTGGAGGAGGGGAGAGGGAGGGAGGAGATTCATCTCTGCCTCGTGGGGGAGGGTGCTGGGCAGTTATTTCCCATTGTACCTCTGGTGTGCTGGCCACCCATGGGAAGAGGAGGAGGACAAACCTTTGTCTCCACTGGGAGGCCTGGCTTGAAGAATACTGCAGTGGGGGAGGAGCAAACCCATGGGTCTACATCAGCTCTACCCATGGGTGCATGTGTGAAGAGTGGGGCGAGGTCTCCACTGCTCAGACCTTCTCCCTGCATAGCAGCCATCACTGTACTTTGGGCCAAAGGGCAGGCACTACTCCTGTCAAGAACCCCTTTGAGCATCCACTTAGTAAAAAAAGCTGTAAGCGCTATATTTCTGAAGACTTTTTCTATTTTCCCCATCCCTACCTCCCTCTCTCCTTATTACCATCTTCGCACACCGGTATGCACACTCTGACTTCACATCCATCCACTCTAACCAGCTTCACAGGCTAGACACACACACACAGAGCATCGTAAAGCATTTATTAAAGAACTGCATGCTCACCAAGGCTCTCAGCAATGCCCTGCACGAGCACATGCATACAGCCCGTTTTTTCTCCATCCCAGTAGCTCCCTATCAGCCACTTTCCATTCCCTTCGGGGCCCCTGGGTAGACCACCCCACCATTCTCTCTTTCCATCCACCTGAAACCCTCTGTCCACCCCCACTTCCAGCCCCACCTGGATGACATCTTACATCCTTCTTCCCTCAGTCTCTGTCTCCTAGCAACCCCATCTCATTCCCTGAATCCCTTCCAAGGAAATTAGAGATAATGGATCTCTCCTTTCTCCATCTCAACCCCTCTTTATTGATCCTCCTTTAATGAAAGTTAATTATAACAATGATTTAATTAATAGAATCCCTCTCTTCCTTTATTGCTTCCCGTATTAAGACTATTAATAAATACGAGCTGGGCTGACAGAGGCATCCATCACCCGCCTGGGATTCCCCCCATCCTTCTTTTTACCCTCCTCCTCTCCCCCTCCCTCTCTTGGCCTATAAACTTGCCGGGGTAGTGGGGGTTAATCAGAGAGGAATTATGAGCCAACATCCCCAGCAGGAGGTGCATTTAATGAAATCACTTGTGATTTATGTCTGGGGGAGGTTGGGGAGGGAAGAATCTGGGACCCACACATCCTGCTTCCAGAAAGGCGGCCCCCTAGTGTAAAAGAGGAGGAAGGAAGGGAGACTGAAACAGGGACACAGGCCCTCTGCTTCCATCCCAAAGCCCCTGCCAAACCTCACACACTCCCACAGGAGCCACATGGCTACCTGCACAGGCCGCCCCCTAGTGTAAAAGAGGAGGAAGGAAGGGAGACTGAAACAGGGACACAGGCCCTCTGCTCCCATCCCAAAGCCCCTGCCAAACCTCACACACTCCCACAGGAGCCACATGGCTACCTGCACAGGCCAACTGACACAGAAGCTGTCGGGCTAAAAGCTCTTATGAGGACTGCAGTGCAGGTTTTGTTCTTTCTCACCTCCAGTACTTTACATGTGTCCTTCTCACCTCCTCCTTTTCTCCCCAGCCCTATTCTGCTTCACAGTCCAAGCCTGCTCCATATCCCTGCCTCCATGAAGCCCTTCCAGTTCCTCACCAGACCCCTCAACACATATATCTAGAGTTTCCAGCTGCTCCTTTCTCTGCCCTTTGTCTTTCTGGTGTGAAATCTACACTTTCACAATGGGAGTTCTGCAGAAGTCTGGAGCCATTTCTCCTCCTTACTCATGATTTACCTACCTACCCCAGTATCCAAGGCACGGCCCCTGACACAGATGGAGCTCAGGGAAGTGTAATTGCATGGGCAGGGAGGGAAGACAGCTGTGTTCCAATTCTAGTTCTGTCTCCTACCCACAGTGTGGTATTTGGCAACTCAGCCTTTCTATTTATTTCTTTTCTGTAAAGGACTATCTCTTTCCCTCCCTGCTTCTCAGCAGACCTGAATGGGCTTGACAACCTAGTGTGAAAGGGACAAAGACCAAGTAGTAGCAAATAAGAACTCATGTGTCCATATGTGGTGGCAGAAGAATGAATCCAAACACATCACTCCCCATTTATAGGACCTCAATGGCTGTTACAGGCAGAACATGAAGTGCAGATCACCTAGTGTGCCAGTCAGGGTCTTACCATCTGGTCACAACTTGCCTCTCCATTTCCCATCCTACCCTAAGCAACTCCAGTATAATGGGACCGTTCCAAGAAATATGCACTTTGGCATGCCTCTGAGCACATGCTTTCCTCTCAGTTCAGAAAACACCTCCTCCATGAACCCTCACTTGACTTCCCTCAGTTATGTTCCAAGATACCACAAATAGCACTTTGTAAAAACATGCTACATCATGTTTACAAGTTTTTCTTCTCACTAGATTATAAGCAACTTGAGGGTAGGTTCTGTGTTTGTCAATCTCTGTGTCCCCAATACCCAGTACAGAGACTGGCGCATAGGTCCAGTCCTCCAAAAATAATTTTTTAATTATTTTAATAAAATATTTCATACATACAAAACAATAATATATATAAGGAATAATAAAGTGAACATCGTTGGATTCACTAACCAGCCTTGAATAATCAAACGCTACCAATATCATTGACATGCCATGTGTGGCCTGAAAGAACAGAATGTGATGTCAGTTGGGATAGAGATGTTTCTGTTAATTCAAGAAGGTTTATGGAGTGCTCTTTACAGGTCAGGTGCTGGAGAACAGAGATGGAATAGTCAAAAACCCAGCCCTCAAAAAGCTCATAGTCAATGTAAATCACCAAATACAAGGAAGCAAGATAAACACTACTTCAGAGGTATGCACAGCATGCTAGGGGACCACTCAGGAGGGGTACTTAACCATGACTGGGGAAGAGACAAAGCTTTCCATGGGTGACTATGTGGGGCTGAGTCTTAAAGAATGAGTAGATGTGAGTCAAGCACGAGCAGGTAGCAGGAACAAAATGTACAAAGACATAGCTTGCTCAGAAGTCTAAACACTCAGGTAGGGCTGCTGAGTGAGGATCATACACAATATGGGAAGTGAGGCTGGAAAGGTGGACTACTGACATATGTTACTCATACATTCACTCAACAAATATTGAGTGCCCACTATGTGCCAGATGCTGTTCTAGGCACTGGGGAAACAGCAGGAACAAAACAGACAGGAATGTCTACCCTCATGGAGCTTACAAGCCATTGCCAGATCATGAAAGTCCACAGAAACCAGTTAGGAACCTACTGCAATAACCCAGGCCAAAATGGTGAGCACCAAACTTAGGCAGTGTCGAGAGGAAAAGAGGCAGAATTATTTAGGTCGTATAATTAATGGGACTTGGTGGTAATTAGATATGGAAAGTGAACAGAAGGAGTCAAGTTGATCCCAGGTCTCAGGTTTCAATGACCAGATAACTGATGATGCCATTCACTAAATAAGTAACACAAATGGAAAAATACATTTGAGGGAAAAGACGGTCAGTACAATTTCACCTTGTGGGATTCCCAATGTCCTTGGGATCTTCTGAAGGAGAGAGAGGTCCAGTAGGCAATTGGAAAAATATTTAAGTCCAGAGATCAAAAGAGTTTGAAGCTGGAGGTAGAGATTTAAGATCCCTGAAAGTGAAGGTGATGAGTGTGAAGAAAGATTACCCAGGTGTCCTCACATGAAGAGTGAGAGGGTAAGAGGGTCAAGGGCAGAAACCAGAACATCAACATGAAGGAGAAGCATGGAGAATGCAGAGTCATGGAGAAGACTGAGAAGCACTGGTCAGAGAGGTAGGTAGAAAGCAACTCAGAAGAGATGAGTCAAGGAGGGAAGCTGCAGCGGCAGAAGTAGCAGAGATGCCAGGAAAATGACTCCTGGAAACCACCAGACTAGTAGCCAGGAGGTCACTGGTGGTTCATCAAGAGGAGCTGAGGAGAGTGTTAGAGGAGGAAGTTAC